AGAAATGAAGATATGAGTTGCTTTGTGTGTTTGTATGTATGTGCAAATTTTGGAATAAAGTTGAAGGAAAAAAAAGCCGAATTTTTTTTTTTTAATGGAAACTGCCAATGCAGATAAATGTCACATAATGAAGGAAAACAGAAGTTAGTTTTTTTCTCGCATGTTACGTTTATTTTTACAGTTACCGTTACTGTTTTACTTTTCCCATAAAAGCTTCTGTTGCTGCTCTGTTGTTCTTGCTGCTTCTACCGTTTTTTTCTTACCTTTTTAATCTTTTTTCAATTGTCGTTTTTTTTTTTTGAACTTAATTCAATCTAACAGCAAAAAGAAATGATTTTCGGGTACAGAGATGATTGAAAAAAAAAAGTCGCTAGACCAGAAAAAGAATGCTTTTTTTTGGTTCAGATTAACTGTAAAAAACTGTTTCTTTGGGGTCGATCAAAAAAAGTACAAAAAAAGGTAAAGGAAAAAAGTTTTGATGATTTTGTGTTTGCTGGACGAATCGACAGATGTGCCCCGGAAGACTGTCAATTGAAACGCCATTGATCAGTGTGGCTGAGTAGAAGAACGATGTGTCCCCTAACTGTCACTCCTCAGAAACTGCTGTACGATTTACGCAGAATTTCCTATTTTACAGCATAATAATGTCATAAATGTAATTCAACAAAATAAGAAGAAACATAATTTTTGTAAAACAAAAAAAAAATTTGATTAAAAAAATACTTATATTTTTTGATCGTTTGCACATAAAAATGAACAAAAATCTTAGCAACTTTTTAACGACTGTTTGTTTTCGTCATTTTTATTCTTGATTCAACAATTCATTTTCTTTCAAATCAATAACTTTCTCTTTTCTTTTTTTCTCCTTTCTCTACTGTCGAGTAATAGAATGACTGTCAGTGGATAGTGTGAAAAAAGGAGTGAAAAAATTCGATACAAAAAAACAGCAAAAAAATTCTTTTTTTGTTTTGGAAAACAGTAATTGTGTTTAAAACCTAAAATTTTTTTTTGAACGACACGAAAGCAGTTTCTGATTTCAGCTGTCTTTTTTCTTCGGGTATTAAACGTGCAAATTCAATCTCCATAACGGATAGACAACTTTCTTTTTACCCTTTTTTCGGTATTCGTCTGCTTTTTTTTTCGCCTGTTATTTCATGTTATTCTTAAAGTTAGCCAGTCTCTTTTTTTTTTCCATTTTGCTTAAGAAAAGAAAAAAACAATTTTTTTGATTTTTTTTGTCTGTTTTTTTTCCTTCTTCTATTCTGAAAAGAATACATTTATTTTATAAATGGATCAGAATTGCCAATTCTGTTTGCTGTTCGATAAACAATTAATGAACCACTGAGGTAATCAGCAGATGACGAACGAGAGAAGATAAAACAAAATAGCAATAGATTAAGAAAATAAGAAAAAAGTAATTTGAAACGCATTTGTGCTTTCTAAAAAAAAAATTGTTTTTTGCCGAATACTATCGCGGCGATGCACCGCATCGGAATAATCAGTACGATTAGTTGACCCAGTCAGTTTGAAAAAAGTAGAAGCAAAAGCAGGTTCAAAAGCAGATGAAATGATAAACGATGGTACCGAGACCTTTGTGAATTAGGCCACTATGGGCAGCAAGACCGTTGTTGAACACACTCTTCACGAAGATACCCATCGGGCCTCTCGGTGAATCCGAGCCGCCAACTATGCTAAAGCCAAGCGAATTGCGGTATGAACGATGCGGTCGCGCGGCGGTTTCGTCGTCGCGCGGCAAATTACATCTTCGATAAAGTACAATTGTTTGAACTCGATTGTTCATCGTAGCGGCATACCTTCAACCTTAATTATCATCAACTAAATTGATTCAAAAAAAATCTAAAGAAAAAAATAAAGAACGAAAAGAAACACCAAAGGACGGAAGATATCGAGAAATGAAAAACGGAAAGAAAAATTCCGAATCGACTGTTAACCATAAAGTATAAGTTCGACGTATTTAAAAGAGTAAATAAAATAAGAGAAAAATAAAGTAAAGTGGAAACACTTTGAAACAAAGCGAAAAAAGAAACAAAACAATTCCTTTTTTATTTGAATTAATTTATGACAATAACAGAAAAAAAAAGCAAAAAGAAAGCAAATAAATGAATGATCAAAGTAAAAATGGCAAAGCCTTTTTTTTTGTAGATTTATAAATGCTTTAATGTACTGTCATCTGCCTGAAAAAGAAAAAATTTGTGATCTATACAGAGCGTTAAAAACAGATTCTCTTTTTTTTCTTCACTGTAGTTGTTCAACAGCGATGACAACAACGAAATTTCAAATTTTCTAGGTAGAATATGACCTGAATTTACTTGCAAAAAGAAAAATCTTCCCCCCCCCCCTTGTTTTCACTCTCCTCTGCTCCTACCTCCTACTTAGCCATCATGCGCCCTCTGCCCTCTTTCCCCATCAAGCGGCGTTATTGTCGTACCAGTGTCAAATAGGAAAGAGAAGGAAATCTTTTCTTCCCTTCTTTTTTTCTACATTCTTTTTTGGAAATAATGTATTTTAACAACCGAAATACACAAAAGAAGCATCAAACGTCTATTTACATAATTAATATATACAGAAACATAGAAAAATGGTAAAGAAAATTATGCATTTTTCTTTACCCTCTTTTTCTTGCCATTTCTGAGCATTTTTCTGTCGTCATTCAATTCATCGCTATCATTTTTTACCTGTTGGCTTCATTGTAGAACTCATTTTTGGTGTTTATCTCCGTCTTTTTCTTCTCCTTTTTTTTCCACATTTTTTGCAAAAAAATTTTTAGCAACAATTTTCCAGTTTTTTTTAAAAATACTTATTATATTTTCTTCTGTTAATAGTCAGTGGACATTCTTTGTTCCATCTTATTTTGCCTTCTTTTTTCTGCTTTTTTCTTTAGATTTCTGTAATTACCGGCGGTATAATATATTCCAACAAAATGACCAACTATTGCAACAGCAACAACAAAAATAGTAACAATAACAATAACAGCAAAAATAACACTTATCTAACCAACCAACTGAATATACTGTCGTCTTCATTCTTTTCCAGAAAAAAAAAGTCATCAAACAGTAATAAAAATGGGGTAATAAGAAATCTACAGCAACACAACAATAAACCGTCGATAATTGAACATGTTAAATTATTTCGACAAACTAATTAGGCGTCTAATAGCCAATAATTTCAATTTATTTATTTTGCTAAAAAAAGAAACATGAAAAGAAAAGTTTCAAAAACCTTCTTTTTTCTTCAAAAGATTAACAAAGTGGACTTCACTAGAATATGAACAATGAAAATCCCCTTGAAACTCTACCGTAGACGTAGACCTTACTTTAGATCTAATTAAGCGACATTATTACGTTTTGACAGTCTACATCGATAACCAATTGCTTTCTGCTACTTTCTTCTCTTTTATTTCGTTATTCTTGCAAATTTCTTTCTGTTCAACGTAAGCTTACCTAAAATAAAGGCTAAAGGGTAAAAAACAAAAGTAAAAAAAAAAAAAAAGAAGGAATATCTGCACTTTTTGTTGCAGTTGATGTTGAAAAAATGCATTAGAAAAGTTTTTGCAATTAGGCTGATGCATCAGGTAAAATGTAGAAAAAAATTAAAGAGCAGAGAAAAGAGAAGAGAAAAAGCAAAGTAAAACGAAAAAAAAAAGACGAATAAATGAAATTAATACTCTCTTTTCTGAAATTTTTCAAGAAATCTTTGGTCGTCGTCTAAAATGAGTTTACCATCGTCACGAGCGTTCCATCAGATGGAAACACAGTCGACAATCAAAAAACTGACATTCACCCTACAGCTATGACAGCTTTGCAAATACTCCTCTTCTTCACCATTACCAATTTTCCCTCTTTCCCCTTCCCTTTGTACTCTTCCTCCTCCTTCCCCTCCTCCCTCTCCTCCTCCCTCTCCTTCTTCCTCTCTTTCAAAATTTTTCTATTTT